ATTATATCAGTAATGAAAGAATCCAAACTGGATCTACTCCCTATAAATTGAACAAGTTTTATTTATTGCATATGTGGAGGTAAGATAATGTCACACCCTGAAAATACAAAAAAAGTATGATAAAATTGCACCATAAAAACATGGCAAATACACCAGATATGTAGAATAAGGTGTATGGAACCATATATATACACAGTCGTATTTTGTGGCTATCTAAATATAGGCTGTCGGCACTCCATGTACACGTGCATATTAATATGTGTTTTTGTTTTTATTTCAACACAGTTTGGCGAGACTTCCAAATAAAAATGTATTTTTTTTTAAATAAATAAATAGTTATAAATCAATAGCAGAATGTGAATCAAATACTTGTTGCATACCATAGTACATTGACAAATCGGGTATTTAAACACAACAAATAGCTCTCATTAACATTCAAATTAAACCGAGCATGTATGCAAATATATTTCCTTTGAAATGTTGTCTACAAATTATGATTTATTGAGTTTGGTCGATTTCAATATATTGTATGCCATTGCGGCTATTTAATATCTTAAATACTAATATGTAGTCTCATGCCAATTCGTGAATACTATAACATAATGCAAAAAAAAATATTACTGACCAGTCTGATTAATCCCAGTCTCACACATGTAATGTTGTACTGTCAAGCAATCGTTGTTGTCCCATTTATAATCATGTGATTTCCTAAATATAAACCCAACGAGTATTGAATATCAAATACATATTTTAAGAACAGGGTGATAATAGGGGTAACATATTCCATGCTTTCGTTATTTTCTTACCACTAAAATATTTACGTACAATGTACTTTTCACAAGCACATGTCAAGGTCGATGACTAGTACTGTACTTACCATAGGTTAACACACCACTGAAAAAGACTCGGTTCGCCTGCTTCCCAATCCTGATATGTTACCTGCGTGTTATCGGACACCCATATATAGGTGGAAGAGTCTCCGCCGAGTCCTGTGAAGTCTCGAAGCCCGATCCATACATTGTCAATGGCAGGATGATGAGTTAGCAGATATTGTTTGATACAATCATTCGTCTCCTCATCTCTGATCTTAATAAAATTCATACCAGAATTTTCACACACTTGGCGGGCTGTGTCCCAGTTGCCAGTATTAGGCATAAGTTCATACGTAACACACCGAATTGTCAGTGGTGGAAAGGCTATAATGGTATAAATAATATATTGCAGTTACAATATGACGTGAACTTCGCAGAGTAAGTATTTTCAGGTTGAGAAAAAAGGAACGATTATAGTAAATAATAATTTATAATATCATTTATTAAAATATATTCATATTATTAGTTATTAAAACAAAATCAATTTGGTTCATGAAGATGTGAATTAAATAATAATATATTCTATTATTTCGTTAAAGTTATTGTGTAATAGTAGTTATATATCATACATTTTGTTTGAAAATAGAATCATTTTATCATTTCGTGTTGACAGGACTCATTAAATGCCCTCAAAAGTATGATAATCGTCCCAAATCTATAGCTATGTTTTTAGTAGGATGAAGCACCCTTGTTTGGACGCTTTTTATTATAAAGTCATCTATGATAAAATGTCAAGGCTGCAGGCATGACGTGCAATGCCAGAAGATTCCTTAGTGATGGCTTTATCCTATACATGTACGATACCCGTCATATTATTATTTTGTGTAATCTCGCATAGAATAATACACCAGAATATGACTTATCGTTTACTTAACAAAACAATTATTGTACGTACTGTCATTTTTGCATATTAAATCACAAGACTTGCCGTCAAACATGAGATCATAACCTCTGTTGCAAGTACAGTAATGTGATGACTCATTTCCTGCATCCAAGTGGCAGTTGTGCTCACAGCCACCATT